CAACAACACACCTACCACCACTTCCTGCCAATCAGGAAATGTCACAACCTCGAACTCTTGTTCTTCTCCAATAAACTCCTGTTCAACACAACCCTCCCCAAGTTCCTCCTGCAACCTAATAAAAGCTGACCTTTCCTTTGTCTCTTCGGACTTGCATGTGGCTCACTGTAGTTTGCTGTATTCCAAATTGCAATTCCTCTGCGCTTCCTGAATAAACTCATTTTGCCAGTAAAATAACTGGCTATTTTTAAGGTTGATACCTTCTATTTCTAGTTTGCTGAGCATTTTTATCAGGAAGCGTTTTGGATGTTGTCAAATAAATGTCTTTTCTTCACCCACTGAGAACCTTTTTTTAAAATTGGTATGTTTATATGGAAGATTATATTAACAGATTTTCAAGTGTCAAGTGTTAAGTTAACCTTATGCCCTTGGAATAAATCCCACTTGGCTATGATGTATCACCATTTTTGTATGCTGTTGAATTATTTAATAGAGATAGAGCTGCTGAGGTTATTTTTTTTTCCTTTACCGAATGTTGGTACTTCATCTCTCTCGAGGAATTGTCTGTTTCATCTGAATTAACTGATCAGCATAAAGCTACTCATAATGCTCCCTAGTTATCTTTTCAATACAGAGTATGAAGTGATGTCAATCCATTCCTGATACGGGTAGTTTGCATCAGCTTTCTTTTCTTTTACTCATCAGTCAGTCAGGATAGAAGTTTATCAATTTTATTGACATTTTCAAAGAACCCATTTTTAGTTGCATTGATTTCTTTTTTTTTTTTTTCTGTTTTCTTTCCCAATTGACATCCATTCTGATCTTTTGCTTACATGGGTTTAATTTCCTCTTCAATTTTTTTTTGTTGTTGTTGTTTCTTACGGTGAAAGTTGAGCTCACTGGTTTGAGACTTTTCTTCTTCTCTAGTACAGGCATTTTGGTGCTATAAATTTTCCTCCAAGTCCTGCTTTAGCTACATCTCAGGATTTTGTAATGAAATTCACTAAGTTTGAAACACTTTCTAATTTACCTTTTGATTCCTTTTTTGACTCATGGACTTAGAAGTGTTTTCTTTTGTTTCCAGATATTTGGGGATTTTCTGAAGATCTTTCTGGTTTTGATTATTCATTTAAATCCATCCTCAGAGAGCACACTCTGTATCCTTTGGGTCCTTTTAAATTTGCTGAGGTTCATTTATGGCCCAAAAAGTGGGCTGTGTTAATAATCGTTATATGTGTATTTAAATGTGTTCTATGGTTGCTCAGTGGAATGTTCTAGAAGTGTCGATGAGGTCAAGTCTGCTGATAGTGTGAATCTAGTATTTTACATTATTGCTGATTTTCTATTTGTTTTATTAATTACTGAGAGAGGGGTGTTGATGTCTCTGTGACTGTAGATTTGTCTGCTTTCCTTCAGTTCTACCAGTTTTTGCTTCTCGCATTTGAAGTCCTATATTCAGATTAATATGTATTTATTATAAATTGGCCCTTTATCATTATGAAATAACCCTCTTTACCCCGAGATTTTTTGCCTTGACCTCGTTTTGTCTGACACCAGCATAGTCACCATGGCCTCCTTGCGATTAGGTCAGCACAGGGGTCTGCTTCCATTGTCCCACTTCCTTCGGGGTTTCTATAGCGCCAAAGTGTCTTTCTCACTACATTTGTTAACTACAAAGGGAAAAATAATGGTTTTACGGTAGAGAAGCCTGGCAGAAGCCACCCTACCTATGTGACCAAGGTTAACATCATCGGTAGTAAGTCAAGCCGGCGTCACTAAGCCCTTGATGTGATGGACCCAGAAACACACAACATCGCTTCTGTGACGTTCTTGCCAAAAATGCATAATCTCACCGCACTGGTGAGAACACTTCAGACACACCCAAACTGAAAGACATGTTTCAAGGTGACTGGTCTGTGAACTTGGTAAAAGACAGGAGGAAAAGACCACAGAGTGAGAAGAGCTAACTGCCATGCGGGTCCTGGGTCGGACAGGGACGTGGGGGAGGGCAGAACAGAATCAGGCCACAGCGTTTCCTGGCGGTGGTGTCCTGGCTGTGAGAACCCACACTCGGTGCTCGGGCTCTAGCCTGTCTTCCTCTGCTCTGCTCCCTTCTCCTCTCCCCCTGCCTCTGTTGGCAGTGAGTGGTGTTATGATTGCGTCTTCCGTCCTGAGCTGACCCCAGCTGTAACTCTCTGCCACGTTACTTCAGTGGCTGCTCAGGGTGCCACATCCAGCTGTCGCTGCTTACCTCGGTGGTCCCTCGGGCCACGTTTGGTCACGTCACGTGCCGGGGGTGCTGCGTTGCTGACACGGCATATATGTCCTCATGTGTAGGAGCCCCACAACACGGGATTATTTCTGCTGTGAGCAGCCAGCTCTCTTTTGAAGAGATTAAAATCTTTAAAGATTAAAGAGGCTTGAAGCTGCCAGCATGTTAGCGTATGCAAATCAAAGAGAGGCTGGAAGGGAGCCCCAAGTTAAGGAATATCTTAATGTTTAAATTAAGCAAATTAAACGGGGTTACTACCAAAAAGTACGGTGCCGATGCAGGGGGATCCACAGACATTAAGCAGAGTGGGAGAGTCCAGACACTGTGAACTCATGATGTGTGGTTCTGCTTAGGGAACGTTCTAGTAGGGATGGGGCGGGGTGGGGCGGGGGGGTGGGGGGGGTTGCTCCCGGGCTGCATGATCTGGATCTGGAGCTCAGTGCTGGTTGTTACCATAAGTAAAAACACATCGGGCTGCTCATAGTTAAGATTTGCCCAGATGACGAAGCGTATTCTGCCCCGATAACAGAAAATAGTAACGTGCCACCCAGGTTTGCGCTTCAGGGATGGTCACAGGTGTCATTGGTTCTGCATCAGTGGACAGACGGATGGATGGATTCAAGGCGCTCGTGTAAGGCTGTGTGGGTGAGCGGTCTTCCTGGTCGCAGGCTGCCCTCATAGGAGGCTCTGGCTGCCGGCCAGGCCCGGGCCACAGAGCCCTGAGAGAGTCTGGCTCTCCGTCCACTCCGGACCACCAGCCCGTGCTCTCAAAACACCAGAAACCTTCTAATGCTATCCTGGCCACGTGGACCGCCCTCTGTAGCTGCCCTTCTGACTATAATTGGGCTCAGGGCTGATTAGCTCACCCATTTATCCACCCAGAGTCCAGGCTTCCTGTCCCCAGGGATGCCAGGCAGCTGCGCCAGCCGGCTAATTGCTTCCCCATCAGGAAGGTGGTTTTGCTGGGCGAGTCTGAGAGCATCTCTCCCGGGACCAGCACGGAAGAGCCGAGCTCCCGGCAGCCGCGGGAGCCAGGACGAAACCAGGCCAAGGAGTGAAACATCTCGGTGAGGCCGGAGTGCCGCTCTGCTGTCTCGACCCCCTTGCTGGCCCAGGCTCAGCCCTCTCCGCCCCGGCCTCCACGCCGCCCCAGGGGGCCCCAGCTCCTGCCCTGGCTCAGCCAGGGGACGCCCAGACGGAACCCCAGCTGGCTCACAGGAGGGGCTGCGGCCGCACCAAGGGAGAGGGCTGCGGGCTGCTGGTGGGGGACCTGAACAGGCAGGGCCAGGGGGCCAGCGGCCCTCCGAGAGCCCGGCCGGTGGATGGATTGCCACATTTTGTCTGCTTTGTCTGGACTGTCTTTTCCAAGAACCAATTTTTTAATGTATTCATCACACCATTGCTTTATTTTTTCCTCCTCTGTAAACCCTGACTTCGTTGGCCCCTGCATTTATGTCGTAGCCATTTCTTGAGTTTCTTAAGTTATAACCCTAGATAATTCACTCTCAGTATTCCAAGTGCAGCTAAGGTTAGAAACCTTCCCCACGAGACTCTCCAGCCACAGCCGGCAGGTCGGGACACGAACATCCTTGCTGTCTTGCGTTGGTCTGCTCACGACTAACGGTGCGGGTCTCAGGCGGGGAGGAAGGTGAGGAAGGGCACGTCCTCGCAGGGCGTGGTGGCCCCCTTGGGTTCCCTGGCCAATGCCCAGCTCCGGGTCCTCACCGGCCCCTCCCCGAGCAGGTGGGGGTGGCCCAGAGACCCAGCGCTGTGCAGAGTCGCAGGGACAGCGCCTGCTCTCCCGAGAGGCACGGCCGTTCCCCACCAGTGCTCCCACCCAGGAAACAGGCAGCTTCAGAGTGAGGACAGAAGCCCCCCAGGGAGAACGGAGACCAGAGGGACACATCATCCGGCGGTGCCCTGCCCCGTGTGCCACCTCCTTGCCCTCCGAGCTGGTCAGGGGACCGGTCACTCAACATCCCAAGCACAGGCTCCTGGAACCACTGGACGTACTTTCTGGCCCTTCTGCTGTACGTTTTTGTTCTAATGTGACTGTTCTAAGAGTGTGGAGCGTGTGGCCCCGTCGCAGAGCCGCCTTGGCAAAGTTGCTGAGATCTGCTCGGTGGTGTATATAGAGCACGCCTGGTTTTTGTGAATGTCCTGTGTGTGTCTGAGAACCACGTGTCTCCTCTGGGCCTCTTGCTGCTGCTATTGGGGTGGGGGGTACAGAGCCATATACACACACATATATAAGCAGTGTATGCTTATGTATGTGTCACGTGTGTATGCATGCTAAAAATTGTTTTTAATGATTTATTTATTTTTGAGACAGAGAGACCCAGAGCACGAGCCGGGGAGAGGCAGAGAGACAGGGAGACACAGAATCCAAAGCAAGCTCCGGGGCTCCGAGCTGTCAGCCCAGAGCCCGACACGGGGCTCGAACTCACAAGCTGTAGGATCACGACCTGAGCTGAAGTCGGATGCTCAACCGACTAAACCACCCAGGCGCCCCTGTATGCATGTTACACTTAAGTTACTATACAGATAAATATATATTTCTTATTATGTGTATAAATACGTTGTACATCATTTATATAACTTATGTGTTGACAAACTTACGTATAAGTTGTACATAATGTATATATGCTTAATATATACATTATATATATAAATACATAACATGTATGAATGTATATATGTGCACACACACACCACACAGAGTGACTTCGGTCTTCATTGTGTTATTCACATTCTGCCCTATTTCCCTCTTCCTCTTTGATTTCTTGATTTCTGAGGAAGTACCTCAAATATTACTGTGAATTTGCCACTTTCCCCTTGAATTTCTATCAAGTTTGCTTTACATATTTAAAAAGCGAGGGTGTTGGGTGGGTAACGTCTCCTGACAGCGATGCCTTCTCCGTAGATGGATGCCTTTCTCTAACCCAGGACCCGTGTGTGCTCCTTCGAGAAGGCCCAGGCCGGGGTTGGCGGTCGGCTTAGCGCTGTCTCCCTAACCATTCTCTCTGAGAGCGTTTGCCCAGACGACTTCTCCACTCTGCCAGCTCTTCTGAGTCTCTCTGTCTCAGGTGATACAGACAAATACGTAGAAAACAATAGAAATGAGTCGGGTTATTACTTTTTTTTTAACAGTCCGAGTCCTTTATTTCCAAGCTGCTCCATGCCTCCCAGAAAGCACAGTAGATACGTTCTGCTCAGAATCCTTTCCTGAGCTACCCACCCCCCGTGGAAGAAGCCCTCCCTGCCCGTCTCTACCACCGTCACAGCGTGGCCTGGCCTCTCAACTTGAAGGTATTTCTTGCACACTTTATGCACCATCAGACTGACCATTCTCCCACCCGAGTGTCTCCCGGTTGATCTGTTTTGCTGTGAATGCAAAAAATGAATTAAGGTGGTTCGATAAGGCATCATCCTATTGATTTCTTGTTCTTCAGCCTCTGTCTCTTGGCGATCTGCCCCTGGCCCCCTTCAAGCGGCTGCCCACAAGTCTGACGTACTCCGCAGCTCCTGCTTAGTCTTCTTAGCGTCCTGATCCTTCCGAGCAGTGTGCCGACGTCCCTGCTGGAGGACACGCGGAGGAACAAGACCCTGGGCGCTTTGGCCCGAGGTTTCTCACCCTCTCTGTTTAGGGGCATTCTCACAACGTGCTGGCGGACGGCCTCTTCCTTCGAGAGACCGAAAAGCTCGCGGATCCCGCTAGTTCGGAGTCCGTGGGTCGGTGAGGCCAGCAATATCCTTCTCCCCTGTCCCACAAGGACCAAGTGGAGAGCACTGAGATTGGCATCCGCGACGCACCCCGAGCAGAGTCGCGCTTTCTCCCCCCCTCCTCCCGGGTCGGTAGCGGGAATCCCCCTGCTCAGCAGCAGGCGGACGCGGCCGTGGGTCAAGACACCCCCCCTTCACGGGGAGGCCTTGTCCGTCACGGCCACCTGTGACCCAGACCACGTCACCCCTCCATTCTCCCCCAAGTCCACCCAGCGTCTGTGGCCATTCGCTTCTCAGAAAAGGTACGAGGTTTCCGTTCAAAGAGTTTCCGGCAGCCAGTAGCTGGGAAGACGTCCCGCATCATCCTGAAGCAGCCCACCGCGTCCGAGGCGCCACGAGAAAGAACGAGTCGGGTTTTTTATCCCAGTATGAAAACCCCGATTCACACGTGTCCTGATCACTGAGGCGTTTTGAGTGTCTCCTCTCGTTCTATTGCACCGCGACCATCCTCCGCTGGTTCCTGTTTTTCCCCGATTTTGTCATTCCACTTGACCCCGCCGGGGGTTCACAGTGATTCATGTGTGTCTGTCCCGCCAGCGGCCGCTCGCCCCGCAACAGCCCTGCTTGCTGCCCGCGTCTGGGAGCCGCCACCGTCCGCGCGGCAGTGTGGCCGGCCAGCCCGCCCCCGTCGTCCTAGGCAAGAGGACACCCGTGCGCTGGGATCGCCCTCCACCGCCAGCTGCCAGTGACCCCATTGGGGGCTTTAGTGCTGAGCGCTTGTTAAATTTTCTTTTTACGCTGTGCCCCAACAGGTGTAAGACACAGCCATACATCTTAATGGTCTCTTGGCTTACACAGAGCTTGGGCTGTGCACGTGTGTGTGTGTGTGTGTGTGTGTGTTATTGTGTCCGCCCCACCCCCAAATTCATATGCTGGAGCCCTATCTCCCCTTGTGGCTGTATTTGGAGGTGGGGCCTCTAATATAGTAATTAAGGTTAAATGAGGCCTTAAGAGTGGAGCCCTGACGTCATAGGATTAGAGTCCTTCTGAGAGGAGACACCGGAGCACTCGCTCCCTCTCCGTGCACACACTGAGGACAGGCACTCAGCACACGGCGAGAGACAGCCGTCCCCAAGCCAGGAGGGGAGCTCTCACCAGAGATGGGTGCTGGCCCCTGGGTCTCAGACCTCCAGCCTCCAGGACTGGAAACAAGTCCGTTGTTTAAGCCGCCCCGTCTGTGGAATTTTGTTACAGCAGCCCAGCTGAGTCCGTGGTTCGCTTTTCTGGAATCCGTCTTAGAGAGGTTCTTTTAAAGGGCAACCCTCTTGCACTGCTGGTGGGAATGCAAACTGGTGCAGCTGCTCTGGAAAACAGTGTGGAGGTTCCTCAAAATATTAAAGATAGAACGACCCTACGACCCAGCAATAGCACTGCTAGGAATTGACCCAAGGGAGTCAATACAGGAGTGCTGATGCAGAGGGGCACTTGTACCCCAATGTTTACCGCAGCACTTTCAACAATAGCCAAATTATGGAAAGAGCCCAAATCTCCATCATCTGCCAAATGGATAAAGATGTGGTTTATGCATACGACGGAATACTACTTGGCAACGAGGAAGAATGAAATCCTGCCGTTTGCAACAATGTGGACGGAACCGGAAGGTATTATGCTGAGTGAAATAAGTCAGTCGGAGAAGGACAGATACCATATGTTTTCACTCATATGTGGAACTTGAGAAACTTCACGGAAGACCATGGGGGAGGGGAAGGGGAAACACAGCTTCAGACAGAGAGGGCGGCAAACCGTAAGAGACTCTTAAATACGGAGAACAAACTGACAGTTTGAGCTGGGAGGAGGGGCAAATGGGTGACGGGCACCGAGGAGGGCACTTGCTGGGCTGAGCACTGGGTGTGGAATGTAAGTGATCAACCACAGGAATCTACCCCTGAAGCCAAGAGCACACTGCATACATCGTATGTTAGCTAACGTGGCAATAAATTATATTCATAACTAAATAAGTAAACAATAAAATAAAAACAAAGAAGATCCTTCAGAAAGGATGCACGAGCGACACATTTTCTGAGTCTTTCCATTCTAAAATGTTTTTATTCAGTGCTGCCAGTCGGATGCTAGTTGGGAGTCTAGATAAAAAACCAAGGCCCCCCCACACCTGGGCGTGGGCAGCCACGGAAAGGGCGTGGCCTTGCCGAGTCCCAGCCTGGGCACCGGGGGCCATGCTGGAGGCGGGTCCAGGAGGATGAAAAACGGGGGGCCGGTGGGGGTGGACTGGTCTGGGCCCAAGGAGCCTGCAGGGTGTCCAAGGGGAGGAACCCGGTGGAGATGGCCACAGGAGACACCCTTGGGCCATAGGCAGCTGGGCCGCGGGCCGGAAGAGGTCTCAGTGGCCCAGACACAGCCCCCTGACCACTGCCCATGTCTGTAACTTTGTCTGTAGGGAACACAGAGAGGCTGGCCGGGCTGGTACGGGCAACAGATTTAATGTTGGGTTTTACGATATCCTGGCCCTGATGACTGTTGGCGGTTTATGCTGATGGCTTGTGAGTCATGGACACTGAGCAGAGAGGCCCCCCCACCATCTAGGCCCACCGCCTGCCCCGCCCTGGGCTCACAGGGAGCGCTGTGCATGGAGAGCCCCTGCCCGGATCTCCAGGACAGCACAGAGGCAGACACACTTTGACCCCCAGAGAAGGCGTGTGCTCACCTGGCTCTTGCCCCTCAAAGGGGCTCAGCCCTGAGAGGCCAGGGCAGTGAACTGAGGCTCCCACGGGGCCCCACCCCAGGGCAGGTGAGGGTCCGAGTGAAGTCACGGTGGGTGCCACCTCTGGGGTGTGGGCTCCAGGACAAGGCCACAGTCCCAACTGTGCAGGAAATGCGGGCCTTGGGCCAATGCACATGTGGTGGGCAAGCTGCTCACGACGTGACCAGGAGGGAGTCACCTGGGCTGAGGGCTGAGGCCCCCAGGGGCAGCCATGGCTGGCGGGATCCCAGGAGCCACGCCGGCCATGAGGAATGGCCGTGTGACGAGAGCCGGCCCGTGCCCTGCCTCGGCTCTCCTCTCAGGGTGCCCTGACGCCCTCCAATTCACAGGCTCGTCTGCTCAGTGACTCGAGGTGGCTGTGAGAAGCAGCAGATTCCCAGACCACACCGCGAGGTGTCCCAGCAGCAGCCCCTTGCCCATCCGAGGCCCAGGGCGGCCCGTGCCTTGGGTGGCCGGCCTCGGCCTGAGTTCCTGGCAGCCGAGCTTCCAAGGGGGCTGTGGGTAGACCAGCCTCACCCGCCCCCGGCATCGGGACCCGGCCAGAGTCCACGGGTCAGTAGAAAGCCCCATACAAAGTGGCCACCTTCTGGAGGATGGTCTTGTGGTTGGCATACAGCGGGATGCGCCTGTCCACGACCTGCCATCGGACGGACATCCCGGGGTCACAGGCATGCAGGTGCTGCAAGGGCAAACGTAGGTCCTGACTCCCTCCTGAGCTGGCCCCGCCTCTGCCCCACACCCCAGAGCTGCGGCTGGGCTCAGAAGGGCCCGGTGGGGGGGGGGGGTGACACGCGCCCCCGGTCTCTGCCTAGGGCTGCCTCCCTGTATTCTTCCATCAAAGGGGAAAAAGAACAGCTACTTCAGGCATGATGGGAAATTCCCACCAAGCTCTGAAAGTCCTTGACGAGAAAAGAGCAGGTGGCCTTCATCTCAGGTGTTCTGTCCTTTAAATCCAGTCTGGATTAGGGACGGTGGCACTGATATAAATGTGGAGACATTATCCCCATGAAGGCATGGGAACCAGCCTCCCCCAGGGAGTCCCGTCCGAGGGTCCCCATCCAGCCACCTGCTGGTGCCCTCTTGCCTCTCCCAGTGCCTCTCGGAGCCCTCTGCTCTCTGCAGCCCCCGCTCTCTGGTCTTGGCCAGCTCCGGCCCCCTGGGAGGCCAGGCAGACCCCTCCTGGAGGCCCCAAGTGACCCCCAGAGCTCACTCGCCTGCATCTCGCCCCCACCCCCCCCCAACCGGGAGCCTGCGGCCCAGGCCCATACAGAGTTCAGCCTCTTCAGGTCCATGTCGCTCTGGTCTGAGAAGTGGATGCTGATGGCCACGGTCTCAATCCAGGCGTTGTCCGTGTTCCTTGGGTCGTCCACGTACCCTCTGTATACCTGGGAGGCAGCGCAGGGGTGAGCCGGTCCGCCCCGGCTTCCTCCCCGAGGGAGGGGCCCCATGCACGTCTTGCGCTCTGTCCCGGCCCAGGGACACTGAGCACAGCCGTCCACTGCTCCCGGGGCCCCGCCGGGCTCTCTCCCTGCCCCGTGCCGCCTGCTCCCCAACACCACCTCCCGCGTGCCCAACCCACCGCGGGGTCCGCGCCTCCCTCAGCGCCCTCCTGGTCTCTGGCTTGGCATCCACACCCGCCTCGACTGTCCTCGGGAGGATAAAAAGGGATGGCGGACGTCACAAACATTGCACTAAGTGAAAGAAGCCAGACGCCAAAGCCCGCGTGCGTCCTGTGTGATTCCACTTACGGCCAGTGTCCTGAACAGGCCGGGATGCAGAATAGAATGCAGGTCAGTGGGTGCCAGGGAATGGTGGGGGGAAAGGCAATGACTGCTCATGGGGGATGGAATGTTCTGGAACAGGTGGGAGGTGATGGTGGCACAACATGGCCAATGCACTAAATGCCACTGACCTGTTCACTCTAAAATGGTTAATTTTATGTTATGTTTCACCTCCATAAATAAACTACTTAATTCTTTTCTACAAAGAGATGGTGCTATTCCCTGGGGCACTGCACAGGACAGCCCTTATGAAATGACCAGGTTCACGGGTTAACACCCTAAATATCAGGGATCGCCTGTTTCATCCTAAGATAGGAGAGACACAGGACCAGTACCAACTCTGGGTCCACCGAGAGGACGTTCAAGAAATCAGGACACAAATCATTATGCGACCATGGAAAAGAGGAGGCAAATTTGTAAATATGAGCATTGCAAATTAAGTGAAAAAGCAAGTTACAGAGAAGCGTGTGCTGTGTGGCCCTGTTTTTATTAAGAGTGTATGGGTGTTCGAGCGCAGAGAGAAAACTGGCAACAGGGCCCGCGGCAGGCGTGTAAAGAAGTAAACAAAGTCTGGAGCGGGGCTCCTGTGGGTGAGTGTGAAGGGGCGTGTGTTACACCAAACGTGTAACGTACCGCTTTCGTAACTAAGACAAGACAAGACGGTGGAGAATACAGGCCCCCCGCCCCCACCCCCGTCCAGGCCTTGGGGAGCCGGGCGCTGGCCCAATGCCCCCTCTGCCCTCAGAGACTCAGACACTGTGGTCCCATGCACCCATGTGCTCCAGGGCAAGAGTGTGTGTGGCGGAGGAGGCGGCCTGCCCCCCCTGACCTGGAGAGAAGAAGGTCAGGGAGGGAAGGCAGGTGCCCAGGGACCAGAGCCAGGGCCACGCCTCTTCGTCCCAGCTCCTTCCTGGGGCGGGAGCAGGGTCCCCAGTGTCCCATCCGGCTCACCCTGCAGCCCTCCCCACCAGCACACCGTGGGTGGCTGGGGCACCCAGATGGGACTGCAGCAGAGGCCACCTTACCTCTGTGCCCTGCGTCAGCAAGTTCTGGAAGGAAGACCAGAACTCTCTACGGAGGACCTGCTTCAGCTTCCGGGGCAGTATCTCTCCTGGTTCCCGGGAGCCCTGGGCAGAGAGGAGGCAGGGGCAGGTCTGAAGGCTGTTCGGAGACCCACCTCCACTGGCCATCTGCCCAGAGTGGGCAGCAGGCCAGCCCCCTGGAGCCACAGGCAGATGAGTGTCTGGCCGCTTGGCTGTCTCAGGGCTGGAGTGACATTGTCCAGAGTGCACTGCCCACGTCAGCCTGTGCGGAGCAAGGGTGCGTCAGACCAGAGCACAATGTTTGGGGAGTACGTGTGGGCGCCCATAAAGCAACACGCGCCCTGCCCTCCAGTGCCCTGGCCACCAGCAGAAGGGCACATTTTAACTATTTTCTTGCATTCCCCTACATGCCGTCTCTCACCTCTGCTCCCCCAGGCTGAGCTCCCAGTCCCTCCCGACACCACCCACCCCAGGGACATGGGCCCTGCACCTGCACTGCCTGGCCTCCACCCCTCCGAGAGACCCTTTTTGCTATTAACGTCTCTCGAAGTCCACATCACATCCATCTGCTTTGTCCCCTGAGACACCTGTGCCCCCCAAAAGCTGCAGTGGTGGGGGGACCCATGCAGGGTTGGGGCTATAGGTGCACTGCTTGGAAGATGCCACCAGGGACTGGGCCAGTGTCCCACCCGGAGAGGCCAAAGTGCCCAAGAGGAAGGCTGAATCGTGCTAGAGACTCTCTCCCAGGGGGAGAGGGGCCGGCCCGATACCTGGTTCAG